GAGCGGGCTGTTTCTTTGGTGGCCCGGAGAGACAGGTCTGTGGTTCTGCGAAGCTCCGCCAGATCTTCCTCAGAGGGACCCCCCCTCTGAACCATCTCCTGTAGCAGGTCGGCTTGGTAGGCTTGAAGCACCGCCATGGTGTGCAAGCTCACACCTGCCTGGCCCGCTGCCATGTACGCCTTCCCCACGAGCGTAGATGTGGTGCGACATGGCTTGGAGGGTAACGCTGGCTTCTCCAGGGAAGACGCAAGTCGAGGGGAGAGATAGCTCGCAAGCGCATCCTCCCATAACCACGGTCCCTAACCCCCATCACATTACTGTAGTTCAGTGATCGGGGTGTGGAAAGCCGTGTAGAGAAGGGTCTGCCCCATGATTTACTCAGTTCATCATGTAAATCAGGAAAGAATGGCAGAGACCGGCGTGTAGGTGGCGTGTGGTGCTTAAGAAACCTTTCATCAAGCTTACCACTAGCCTGTGGTGTCCTCCTCCTGTGGCCAGTTGATGTTGAGCTTAGCCACAGCTCTAGTCTCCACCTCCAGCAGCTCGTCATAGTCGGGCGCCGCCTGATGACGCTGCCCCGACACACGGAAGTCATCATCCACTGCGCTGAGCACGTCCACCTCCTCGGAGTCGGATTGCTGCAGCGTTTTCGGATCCAAACCACGAGCGGGAGAAGCCGAGAAACGGGCTCCCGAACGAGGAAAGGAAGTGTCGGAGCCAGCGGATGAAGGTCGGGAAAAAGCCTAAGCCGTCCCGAAATCCTCCGACAGATCACGCTGTGTAAGGTAAGGTAAGACACACTGCTTGTAGGACTGGAGCTTTCTTCAAACAACATACAGAGCGCCTGCTGAATAGAAAAAAGCTAATGATGGGTGTGTACAGGTGTGCTTTATACTCCTCCGGTTATTCCGTCACACCTTACCGTTCTAGCAACAAACCAATAGGATTGGAGTGATTTCATTCAAGTTCAGACCTGCTACGCCTAGAGGCGTTCCCATAGTGTCGTAACCGACGCAGTTCAAGTTCCCTCGAAGGGGAACATTTAAGCTAAGGGGTTTTATGAGTTTTAGTCACTTATCACACCACACATTTGCCAGTCACATTGGTTTGTGTTAATTGAGGAAATGGCTTTTGGCTCGTTATTTTCTTTATCGCTGCTGCTGTAATACTCATTTGGTAAGAATAATCTGTAAGAAAGCTATAGTATCTACTGCAGTATGACTACAAGAAGGATGCAGAATAGATAATGGAAAACAGAGGGAAATTATGGTACAACCATGGCTACAAGTACATCGTATTTGCACTAGAAGCCATCCGCTCATCAGTGATTTTCTCTGTGATTCTCATGTGTACATCAGACAGGAGATGTGTGAGGAGCGGGCTTTTAGAGAGGCTCTCATGAAGAAGAGCATTGTTCCTTTTTTCCACCCAGAAAATATTCCATTATACCAGGTATGAGTTCACTTCAATATATAATATATTTAAATATGTTTTCGAGTCAGCATTATAATAAAACCCTTAAGTGACATTGGTTCGCCATTTTGGACTTGTACATAGAAAAATACACGATATTCAGCAAGAGATACTGCACTGTTGCTTGTTTTCCAGAACCTGCTACAGCACCAAACAGGAGACATGAGGAGTATATCCATGGATCTCCCTCCAATCCCCAAGTCAGACAGTGCTGAGGCCTTCCCTAAAGATGACCCACAAGAGAACAGTAAGTTATTGTCCGTCAGTATTTACTAGCAGCTGCTAAGATGAGACTCATTTTAAAGGTTGTCCTGTGGGGAATCCATATGGAGAAACTGGGACTCAATTGAACTATTCTATATATATTATTATTATTTTAAAGCAACTGTAGAAATGCATAAAACTATTAACTGTAGATTCAGTAATATGCATGTTGTATAATATACTGTATTTGTGTAACTGCAGCACCACGACCCTTAAACCCAACACCCTCTCAATCTGCAAGGTAATGAAGAACCTGTAATGAACACCCCCCACCCCCCGTGTTTCATTTTGCTAAGTTGTTGTGATTCATACATTATATCTATTAATTTTTATTTAATAAATTGCTTGTCTAAATTCTGTTTGTATTTTCTGTTGAGACATTGCTTGACCTCTGCTGGTGTTTTGCTCTCAGTCAAGCAGCAGGAAGTGACAGGATGCTTGAAAAAAGACCCACCAACCCCACGCCTCAGACTGCAGGTATAACAAATGAGGAATTACTCTGAATATTACAGATACATTTTTAGTCTGAATTCTATTTGAAACATCATTAGGCAAGAATGTTTGTTAAACCTGTCACATTTCTTGGTGGCATGGTACAGAGACCTACAGTACCAGCAAAACATACTTTTCTGTTTATCTTGAGGGTGTTGGCCATGAACTCCGAGAACGAATATGATTCAGTCACTGATTTCCAGATCATTTCCAGGTTATGCGGGTGGATTGATCACTTTAAATTGCATGAATGACCTTCTCTTTGTGTGTGAATGTGTCCACGCCAGGTGAAAGCAGTGTGAGGGGTTTATCTGGCAACCATAAGTCAATCCAGGTGGATGTGACTGGAAAGCCCAGGAGGACTAAAGTCAGACTACCAGCCTCGATCCTCAGCTCTAAAGCTTGCAGCATACCAAATCAACAGGTGCCTAAACATTCAACATGTCAAGACTTATTCTGCAATATAGCATTGCAGGAAAACTTCTCTACAAAAAAAAAGATTGCTTATGAAAATGTTATTCATGTCAACAAATCAGCTGTGTTTCAGTATATAAATGCAGTGGGTTAGTTATTAGTTAGTGTGAAACTTCAATTAAAAACCTAGTCCCAGTTAGATGACTGGTCTGGTTTTTATAGATTTGGTTGTTTCTTTGAATTCATAAAATCTCTTAAAGCCCACCGGGTCGCCCGCCTCAGGTAGTTCTAAGCTGCAAACTTCTGTTACATTCAAACCCTTGCCGAGTTCACACAATGCTACTAAGCCTATCACCGCAGTGATTTAATGTGGTGACATTCCTGTGCTGATTCACAGCAGTAATGCCACTTGAATTGAAACAGAACAGAGATGACACACAACTCTGTCTCTGGAGCTACTGGAGCGACAGAGTAGACTACAGCAGCTACGCATATGGCTGAAAGAAGTGTCCGAGAAAAGTTGCTGATGCTCCAGATAAAAATGAATCTCTGCGTTCAGAGGAAGGATAACTAATAAAACTCACTTGAAGGCATACGTCATAAGCCCTCGCAGTTACCGTCACTGTCAGAAGGGGAGACAAACGTCTCTGCACTGCAGGTTTAACTTTTCCTTGGTTTGACATGTTATCTATGAATATTATCAAGTATCCTAAAGTGACATCTAGAGGTGGAGATATGCCACTGTAGAATATGTTTGTAGAATTCAGTTACTTCCGCTGGTTTCTGCTGTGCAGCCCATGATCAGCCCTAGATATCCTGTAATCATTCTGTACACTCTGTCACTCTATCACACACATACTGTTTGATCCATGTATAGATACACATCACTCCATTCGTGTCCCCTATAACAGTTCCTGTCAGTGGAAGAGCCGGTGAGGAGGAAGTGTCGAACTATTTCTCTGACCGAGCCAAATGTCATATTGAGGGGATTCCAGCTCCTGCCGTCCAGTGTTGACTTTGGTGCAGTGCAGGAGGGCACCTCCTCGGCCATTACTGTGTTGATGAAGAATGTGGGTGTTGACACCTGCAGGTAAACACATCAGATTATGGATAGATGGAAGCATGGATACATACATGACGAGGCAAATGTAGGCTTTGAAAACCATGAAATAGTTTAGTTGCAGCTTTACAACTGGTTTCATGCTTATTTTAGTATGTCAGGAAGAAATGAGTGCTGCGGTAGGTGCAGGCAATTTGTGGGTCACCTTCAAGTCCAAGGGGAAAACGTTGACCTGTAACTATTTGTGGTTTGTTTCGATCCCTCTCTCTGCAAGGTTCCATGTGAAACAGCCTCCTCCTGCTACAGGCCTCCGGGTCATCTACACTCCTGGACCTGTAAGTTTCCAGCTGGATGTTAAGATTAAATGTTAATGTTAATATTTTTGACTAATTAACTTTAACTATTTAACATCACTGATATTTCTAAAGATACATATTTCAATTAGTGATTAAATAAAAATTACATATGCGGTCTACTGTTTGTCTGTCTAGGTGGCTGCAGGTCTGCATGTTGAATTGCAGGTTCAGCTGTTTGCCATGTGTGTGGTCCAAGCAGGAGAGGTAGAGCCAAAGAAGTACTTCTCCCAGGATATTATCATCCACACTGAGACAGACATCATCTACCTGCCTGTCACTGCTAATATCCTTTGGACACCTCAAGAAATGTTTCACTTTTAAAGAATCATTTTGCTTTGCCATGCTAGCCTTAGATTGCATTGTCCTTACTAAAAATTCAACAAGTCTGAGTGACTTTGGTCCTTAAATAACTTCACCCATCCTTCCTAAGAGGTTGTATGACATTTGGCTCAAGGACAACACCAGTGCACACAACAAAAAAGGCTCCAGGGTCCGTCAACTGTCTTCCAGCCTGCCAATTGAACGGGGCCCCATACAACCATGCAGACGGCCCAGTGCCCTCCTGACCAGTCCTTCAGCAAACACTGGTCAGTCTCTTGTACTAAAAAAAAAACAGATGTGGATAGAAGGCAGTCACAATCTCTGAACATCGCTTTTGTTTGTACATTTCAGGACACCCTAGTCTCTGAGGAATCACCAATCTGATCAGATTTCACATCATTCAAGTATTCATCTCATCGTCACCCTACAACATTCCTGTGTTTTATTCCACAAAAATGAAATATTAAATGGATTTTTATATCTTCCTCTGTTACAAATAAAAGCTTTATCAACTCTTGAATAAAAAGTAGCAAATGCATTTTAGGCTTTTGGGTAGACATATTTTGTGTGTGTGTGTCCTCCAACAAGACTGCTTCAGTTGTGCCCATTTTGATGAGCGCCTCTACGGGGGAGACGTGCGCCCGTGCGTGTGCTCAGGTGAACAGATGGGGGTGGGGATGTTGGTATATGACGTCAACGGAGACCCAACGCAAGGTGAAAGCCCGTCACAACAAAGTTGAATAATGACAGTAATCCTTGCTGTCATTTTGTTTTTGTTGCATTTCGATGCCTCCTATTTAGCCTCCACGTTTAGCGCACAAACCTAACGCGCGTTATGCTCACGAGCATTTTCCTTCATTTAGTGCATCTGCGGCTTGTGAAATCCTTGGCTCTCCTGTGTTGTCGGTCACGCGCTCACACGTGCATATACGCACACTCGGAGCTGAGCATCACGAGAGCCAGAAGCAGCGAAAGCGACTTGAGTGGGGGGGGTGAGACGCGTTTTGACTTCGGTTGCTTAGTCACATTTTGCTTTGACCGGAGAGGCGAAGGATGGAGCGGGTGGAAGAGAAACACTGAGCGGGTCCGCGGGAGAAGACAGAGGAAGAAGGCAGGGGGGTACCGACATCCGGAGTAGATGATGCTTATTTGCCGCAGGCCCCGCCATCGTGAAATTGGATACCGACTTGCGACGGATGGGGTGACCGAGCTTGCTGCTCCGCCGGGGAGGTCCCTGCCTTCGGACGTTACCGGGGTGGGAGCTGCCTGTGCCCGGTTCTAAGGAAGGAAGGAGTGGCAAGAGGGAAAATGCAGACGGAGGAGGAGACGGCCACCGCAGAAGAGCCCATTTTGGAGGAAGGGTCAGGACGAGAGCAGGTGAGGAAGGGCATTTTCTAAATTTGCTCTGTCTCCCTTTACGAGTACGCGGTTGTTTGTGCGTGGGTAACGTTAGAAAGAGTCCAGTTAGCGTAAAGTTGCGCATATTTTGCCCAGAACCACCTTGCATTTTAATGTCATTGATGCTCGTTTCCAAACAACCCGTACTTTCTACAGCGTGTCCCACATACCGTGGACCACTCCTGGTCTTTCATTGACCAAAATGTATTTGCTGTTGTTGACGCGAAGAACCAAGGGCACGGAACAGGACCTTGGCTATAATATGACTGATGAGGCTAGGTAAACGGAGAGGGGAGTGAGCTCTTACACTGCCTGTCTAGAAATAAGCCCCCAGCATTGATGTGATGTCTGACAACACTGTATGATGTGTTACTCCTGGGAGAGATGGTCTAGCCCTTTCCCAGTATAGTAGATGTCCATTTAGCAGCTGACACCACTAAAATACACTAGAGGGTGACATCACAGTTTACACACACACACACACACACACACACCCCTTTCAGACAATTACTCATGCCACATGTGCAAGGTGAGAACACAGCCTAATAACTGCCAGCAAAATGCTTATTTATTTTCACCAAACAGTGTTTATACAGGGGTTGATCATTTATAATAGTAGAATAGTCTTCTTAACTACTTAAGACCAACATCTTTAGCAGACATCACTGTCTTTATACACACCTCCCCAACACTACACTCTACTATACCTGCTCTGAAGCACTAGTTATTTTCCTGAACCTTTTAAGTCCTTTGCATATTGTTCAAATGTTCATGTTTACACTTAACAGTATAAAGCCATGAATCGGACTCCCTGTTTAAAAGACAGTACTCCCTGATGCCCCACCACCATACACACACACACACACACACACACACGTCTTTAAAATGTAACCTCTCCTCCAAAGCAGTTCACCACCTCCTCTACTACTGCTCCCAATACGTTGGAAGCAGCATCATTTATTCAAACACATCATCTTTATAATAACACAACACAAGAGAAATAAAGTAAGCAAAGCATGAGCAAAACATTACGTAAGTCAGTTGCCAGGACAAAATAACTAACGATGTTGCCGCACTTGATTCTCACCACCATTCCCAGTCGCACTTAACATGATGACGGTCTATACCCTTAGAGGAAAGGCAGTGTATGCATGTGTTGTATAAGGAACGGGTTATACTGCTAAGGAGGAAATTGCCAAATAGCAGTGGAGTTTACTTAGACTGAGAGAATGGGTTGGTGTCTCACTTATTGAACAGGTGAGACAGAAAGGTACCTGTTCTGCACACCTTCACAACATTTAATGTAAGCTTTAGGCCCGGAACTAACTATTATCTTAAAGAGATGGTATTATGTTCATTTTCAGGTTCAAAATCCTATTTAGGGGTTACATGGTTTAATTTTCAAAAAAACACCATATTTTTTGTCATACTGCACATTGCTGCAGCTCCGCTTCATTTTGGCTATGGAGTGATACATCTTGTCTTTAAATGATCTTTGTTGGGAGTTGCACATGCAGTACCTAGTTAAGGACTACTAGCAAAAAAACGTTAATAGTCAATCAGAAGCAGAGAAGGGCCGGCCAATGAGAAGCCGGTAAACAGGGCTTTGGTTCAGCTGTACATGTTGCCGACCAGCTTGGCAACATAGACTGGAGCAGGAGTTTCAGAGATATGAATTATTAATTTGATACAAATGTATCTTTCATCCATACAGTTATAACGTAACAGTTTTAAGGGAAACGGCTGGACTACAAACAAGCTGTTTTCAAGCAGTTCAGAGCACATTTTTCTGTGGGAGATGGGCACAAAAAAGAATATAACTCAATAAAGGTGAGAAAAAAAGCATAATAGCACCTTTAATAGTCTTTTTTTAATCAGACTATCATAGACATTTTTGATTATTTGATTGATTTCTTTGCCCATTATAATTCCCCTGAGCCGCAAAAAGCAGCAAATCCTCACCTCATCTCACCTGAAAAAAATATGGACCCAGCTGATCACGCGAAGGCATTTCAGTCTGTTAGTTCTCTGTCGAATTAATAGTTGATTAATCAATTAATCGTTTTAGCTCTAATGAGCTTTAAATATCTTACCTCTTACTTTGACTGACTGAGTTTTATATATTAATTGTTCCACTACTACAACATATTTGACTGGCCGAACCAAGAAATGGCATTCAAATGAGAGAATTAAGCATTTGGCAATTACCTAACTACCTAAGCCTGTTAAATGATGCCTTTCACTTAATTCCTAGCTTCTCCCCTCACTTTACCCATGGCTGTAGTGCAGTGCAATGTAATGCAATGAATTCAGTCTTCATCTGTTCTCTCTGCTTCCATTACTGTCTCTCATCTTCCCCTCTTGGTCTCCTTCCTGTTTTAGATTTGCGTGTTGTGGAGTATATAGCATCATCATCCTATCTCTCTCTCCTTGGCTCTTCCTCGTTCAAACATTTGCACACTCATATCTCACTTAACTTTATTCACTCTCTGGCACACATGGGTATGCATGTACACAAGCCCGCAAGCATTAGTACAAATTAAGTCGAGCCGAGTGATTAATATTAAAAAGCGCATCTCTGATTCATACGTATCGCCATGCAATCTAATTCTCACATGACAATGATTCTCACGTGTTTCCATTAGCAGAGAGGCCTGTTGCTGCAAACCAAGTGAAACTGAGTTCCACCACATGACAAACTGTGCACAGGCAGCTTGTGAGAGAGAGCTATGAATGAAATGGTCAAGAACAAACTGCTGATGATGGAAGTGGAAACAAATGAATCCAGCCCTGTTCTGATAATCTTCTCACAATCTTCAGTAGAAGGAAATGGGTTTGGTTTAGGTTTTAAGTTTTCAATGTTCAATGGCATATGTCAATAACAAAAAATGGATGGAGATAGTCAAAAGCATAGACAGTGTTTTGATAGTAATCTTTGCCATGGTTGCAGCACCCCAGGTTAACACAAAATGTATGCAACTGTCTACACTATAAGATTAGAACAAAATTTTATATGTCAGAAATTCCAGCTACAAACAAGATAGAGATCCCTGCTGCTCGGCCACACAAACGTCTACAACAGGAGTCCCGTACGCTGCCTCAACACACCAGACAAAAAGTGCTTTCATAAAGAATCATTGACAGAATGAAATGCAGCGTTGAGTTCATAACAGTTCATAAAAACAGCCTGCCTGCCTTCATGAAGCAAGCCAACAATATGCAGAAACGTTAGGTTCACTAATAGAGAATGTGTTTCCTCAGGTAAATGCAGTTGCTAAACAGGAGCAGGTGATGCGTGACATAGAACATTACAGAACAGGAGACTAAGTCCAAATAATATTTAGAGCGAATAAACATGATCTACAGATTAGTTTACGCCTGTTGTAAATCTCTTTCGCTGCCGACTCAAATACACAAAGCAAAATACTGTCTTTTTAAGTAAATTACTCCTATTACACAAGTTTAAATGGTGCTGATAGTCAGTATAACAGCACTTGGACATTGTAATAAATATATCTCTTTGATTTACAGGTGTTCTGAATTAATTGTTGATTACATTGAAAATAAACTTAATTTCCACCTGCCACTAATGAAAGCGAAGATTGCAGTTGAGCTACAACGTCACATGGATAAGTTTCTGAAAGTAACATTTAATACATTATATTTATTTCACTTATTGGTGACCCACACCTTGTTGGTGGATAATTAGTCTCTATTGAACACACTCTAAAACAAATAATTTGTAACAGGGCAGTAATGTTTGTAACACAGTGAGCATGTGATGACGCATTTTATTACCCAACATCCCTTGTGCTAATGATTTGTTTGTCTATTTTACAGTTACAGCATAGGTAGTAGAAACCTGGCATCCTAATTCACTCTCTCTCACTTGTGTTGAAATGATACATCATTTTTTAACAGCGTACTGCAGGCTTCAACAGCACTTTTTCCTGTCCTCACTTCATTTGCCACCCACATGCTAGGATTGCTAATTATAGCTGCTCCAGTCACACCTAACCAGCTGAATCAGTATGAGCAGAGACACAGTGGGATGCACACGTTTTCTACTAGACACCTTTATAAGGAGGGATCTGAAAAAAATGTCTCTGCCCTGTGCTCTAATGTAATTACCATACCTTTTTGGTTTATTAAATATTGTTTAGGGATGATAAAACACTAAACGTCCTGATATGCTTATGGTAGATGCCATCTCCCTAGCTAAATTTGACCTGTGCACAGACACAAATACAAAGAGCCAGTAACTAAATATGTGGCAGAAATGCACAGTTACAGCACCATATTTCAGCAAATACTACAAGACCAGATTAAAGAACAATGATTGAATTTAGAGACATTTACTGGATGGAGCAAATCCTATTAATGAAAAAGCCCTGTCAGTTGCAGTTTCAGTAGAGGCAGGAAATAACTACAGTACAGTATGCACACGGTCTTCAAAATCCAAGCACAAAGTGTGTGATACATGTCCAAAAAAAAACAAAAAACAGAACAAACAACCTGTGATTCATGTCAGCTATGTGGGCTCTTCTTCAGGCAGCTGTCTCTAGTGACTGTGGATGCTAAGGAGTATATATAGAATATAGAGACAATTTGTCAAAGTATCAGTGTTTTCATCCCAGCAGTATTTTGTTAGATGATTATGTGTTTTATGCAAATGCAGACACTGAATGTAAGTCAGTAATGAAACATTAATAAAGAATTTGTCATGTAAAGACCACGCTGTATCAAGCCTCTTCAAAAGAGCTTGCGAGAAGGGCAGTCCAAACCTTCAGTATGAATAAAATGAAAGCTGACACCCTCCAGACTAGGCAATATAGATTTCTTTTCATAATGATTGCAAGGAGAGCGAGCTTTGCCTTTGATTTGTTACAGCCTGACTCAAGAACTAAGGCTCAACAGAGGCAGCTGAAAAAGCAGAAGGATCATGACAACCAGAAACTACTTATTATGCCAAGAGTGCATCCCCATTGGTCACCAGTTCACTAGCTTGGTTCGCCTGTATTACCTTGTGGACAAACCTTACAGATGCTTTGTAATCAGATCAAAGCTTGACTGGCACACAGATCCAATTTGTTATTGATCGTTATTGGCGCCAGTACTGATCTGGATTGGGTACTGGCCAATGACATGACCAATCCACAGTAAATTCATTTTTTTTATGCTTTTATTATCACGTTTATTCAGTCAGAGTGGGCTGCCAGTTCACGTTTTAGTGCAACATCAATATTTCTGTGAGTTCTACACACAGTGACGTATACAGAAATTTGTGAAAACCAGAGCACTGGAATTGGGTCGGTGTGATGAAGTGGGTTTGATCACCACTTGTCCCATACAGGCCATTACCTTCTAGTTTATACATATATGTTTATGTTTTTTAGTAATTTACCATAGCTTGTGTAAAAGTGCACCACTTACTATCCCGGGTTGTTTTTTGTTTGTATTATGTTACAGTCGACAGCAAAGCATATGGTAAGTTAGAGTAAACACACAGTCATAAGTTAGTTTCAGCTCAATTTTATTAGGTAGATTAGATTAGGTTTCTGGTCGAGGTATCTGGATGAAAAAAGTTGGACCAGTTCATCCCCAAGAATAATAATTACGTGAAAAGGAGGTGTTTACAGGAGCTTTTTCTTACTTCTGAGTTGCTTCTGATCCATAAAAGACTTTCAGTGTCTTGAACAAAACAGCTCAAACTGCTGTTTACTGTAGCGTTTGATTATGCTGTATGTGCATTGTTACTTGACCCTCTATTAGCTTCTAGAGCTCATATCTAGCAAATTCCCATCAATGTACACTACCAGCGTCATTTAGAGTTGACGATGGACAGAGTGCTGATATTTCCGAGTACACTACATCAGATAAACAGTTTACACTGGACATTGCTTTGTGTGGTATCTCCGTAAGCACACTTGTTTATTGTGCACTTCTTCTAAACCAAGCTGACTTAGTTGCAAATGCGTGTAACTAGTCAACCCCCAGTTAATTGTGAAAAAAAGCTTCTCCAGGCTCTGCCTCTCGGCGACAGAACATTTTATCACCGGTGGGAAAGAGAACTGCTAATACTGACAAATACTGATTGGCATAAGTGCACACAGGAATAATTTGACTCCTGTCTTGGGGCTGATTTTCCTCTCACTGGGCACACACCAGCTGCAGAGACTTAATGAAAATGTCAGCTGAGGCCTGTGCTGGGTTTTATTTTTTTATTGCTAGAATATTCTCTTTTTGGCATTTATGAGCAGAAGGTAAGAGGAAAGATGACAGGAGAGAACTGGAGCCAGGAAGAAAAAATGAGATCCACAGGGAGGGATTTTGGCAGTGGAGTTCCCTGGAGAGAGCCGAAGTCTGTCGCCGCTGCCATCTCTTTAGTCTCTCCCCCTTGCCCTCTCTGATTTTCCTTTCCTACTTGCATTCATGAAAAGTTCATGACCGTTTCTCTGTCTCTCTCACGCTCCTCATCTCCTCTCTCTCTCTCACTGCGCTACACTTTTAGCCCAATCAATCCACTTAGAGACAGACTTTGAAAGAGGATGTAACAGAGGAGACGTGGGGGTGAGGACAAAGGCTGGTGCGGGACTTAGCTTGGGATTGAAGCGTAAATGCTTAGGAGGTGGGAGGGAAGATTCGGGGAAGGAGAAAAAAATTACATAAGGGAGGAGGAAGGAAATAGGATGTGGATAGAAAAGGCAGACAGAAAACAAACAAAATGATATTGAATTGCACGGATGACAATTGTATCTAACCTATTTTTGGATCCCTACGTGTGCAGTTGGATCTTTTTGGGGGGCTTTTGCAGAGAGATGGACTGGTGGAGTAGAGGTGCCCTTCACACTGCCTTTCACTACTTCCCCTGGATGTATAGTAGTAAAAAAAAGGGGTGGTGGTGGTGGTGGTGGCATCCTGATGTGCTGACAGGACAAGCAGACTTGGCAGAGAAGAAGAGAGGACACTAGTGTCATCCCGTCTTTTTTTTGTCATCTGCCTCGTTGCTCTTGTGCCTGTCGCATTCTGCACGTGGCAGAGTATTACAACACAGAGAGGGCACATGCAAATATAGACACACTCACACACTTAACACAGGAAACAGTACCGACGTGAGTTTCTGTCTCTCTGCCTGTGTTTCTGTCACGTACATTACACTACATTACATTACACAATTATACACAAGGTTGTTTTTTCTTTTGGCACACCCCATCTATCTCCCCCTCCCTCCCTCATTCACACACAAACTCACACATTGAAGCAGCAATGATACGCTGCCGATGTTGGAATCAGTTAGCTGGAGAACAGTCTAGAAGCATCGTTCTCGTCTAAATTATTCACATACTCTTTGCTGTCTGCATTACAAGACTGAGAACATGCATGCTGGTGTGTATGGATAAAGAGAGAGATGACGAGAGAGAAGAGGGGCACATTAGACCATCTGTGTGTGTGTGTGTGTGTGTGTGTGTGTGTGTGTGTGTGTGTCCGCCTGCACGCGCTTGAATGCACTGTAACATGATGTCTTCCCAGTGCAAGTTAGGCTGTGTCAGAGTGTGCACTTAGAGAGGCATAACCAGTGTGTGTGCCTAATATGCAGCACTTATCCTCTGATGGGTAAGGGGTGGTGTAATGCATTCCTTTGGTCAAGACCTCAGCTTACACACTGGCTCTAAAATACCACACCTGTTTGCTAAACAGGATGAATATGATTGGGGGGGGTTGTCACCAGGTAACACAAATCTGTTACAAACATTTTCTGTCATACTACCATGGCTCATTTTTTCCCATAACTCATTTTCACCCTCATAAATTATGAAACATTAACACTGTGAAGTGTGCTGTATTATTTATTATAATAGTCACTGTCAACATGAGGACTTAGAGGTTTGTCTAAATGACTGACTCGGCTCAGACCAGAATTGTGGCTAATGTTTTATGTTTATCTTTGAAAACAGCTTGCCTTACATGTTACAGCCCTCATGTTAAACTGGTACTTGAATGTGAACTAACCAAGTAACCCAACCAGTATCATTCAGATAGAGGCAAACTGGTCAGCACTCAAAATCACTGTGAAAATGTTCTTTGCCACAGTGACTCTTGCTTGCAATGACAATGCTAATATGCCCTTGTTAAGCAGGTGTAATATTCACAATGTCTTAGATTGGTGTGTTAGCATATTAATATTTGCTAATAGGCACTAAATATAAAGTAAAGTGATGTCATTAATTTTGCAGGTATTTGGTCATAATGCAAAGTACTGGACAAATTGAAGTTTTGACCTATGATGGCGCTAGAGGAAAAGTCATGACAGTTCATTCAATAGTCGTTGAGACAAACCCAAAGGCTAGACAAAAAGTCAGGGATCAACAAAGTAATTTGTCAGTGCAAAGTTATGGTAATCCATCCAGTTGTTACTGAGATACTTCAGTTTGGACCACTACCTATACTTGCCAACCCTCCCGATTTTCCTGGGAAATTCCCGTTTTTCATCGTCCTCTCCCTGTTTCCTCCTGGGGTCACAGTTCTCCCGTCTTTCTCCCGATTTATGACAAATGTTCACAATATTTTTATTGCACAGTTCATATAAGCCCTACAACTCTCTACTGTTTCAACCCAGACAACAATACAGCTACACCAAATCTCGTCTCCTATTCCTGTTGTTTCCTGTCAGCTTCTCTACTCTCTTTGTGTCCCCACAGCAACGGCCAGTCCAACAGTCTCTGGCCTCCTCCCTGTGTCGGGAGTCTCATTGGAAGTGCCTCCTCCTGACCCTCCTCATGTACGGCTGCTTTGCCACGCTCACCTGGTGCGCACTCTGCCGTGTACCCGTTCTCGGCTCCTCCTCCATACCTCTCGGTGCTGACGACGATGCCACCTCGGCAGCCTACTATAATGACATCCTGCACATGGAGAGTCCGTGCTCTAGTGGCTACGTCTACATCCCCCTGGCCTTCCTGGCGATGCTGTACGTGGTTTACTTGGTGGAGTGCTGGCACTGCTTCTCTAAGATGGCAATGTTGGCCCATGCTGAATTCCAGGTATGAGTGAAAAACAGTTTTATAACTACAGTCTACTGCTGCAATAGGAGTCTAGCAATATGTCTATGACCTTGAGCTACACAGCAGAATCACTCACTGAAACTTGTTCAGAATGGTAGTGTCAGCAAAATGTCTTAGACAAAATAAGATAAGTAAATACAATTATGCTGTAGTAAATGTCTGCACAGACAGTAGCATCCCAAACAGGCATGCAGTTTAGTCAGAAAACTTTCACAAGGAGAGAACACTGTTTTACTCTCAATTTCCTGCTTGAGTGTAGGGAAGAATAATACATGCCCACTCATATGGAAATGAGCTTACCTGGGGCTATCAGTCTATCTTTTGTCTGTTCTGGTCTGCTCTCTCTATAATCTGGAAAATAAATTTTTACGTTAGTCCAGACTATCAAGGGAACACACATCCTATGATTAAGTGTAGCTCTAAATAGAGAATACAAAAAAACAAATCATAACACCATGAACAAACCTTGACAGGGCCTGGCTTGCACCAGATTGCACACACTTAACTATGCTGTTTGCAAACAATAACAACATAATAGTTTTTTTCTCCCTGTCCCGGCTCAGGCAATATTGCATCTTTATATTCAGATTGTTCATCCTCATTTTTAACAGGTTTGTTTGGAAAGACAGTTTTACAAAAGTGGCTACAGACTATGTGTTTTTCAAACACATGCCTTATTTTCCAGGACTATTGTGCCAATATGAGGGCTCGCTGCGCTGTATGAAAGGTACGGAGCCAGAAAGGGGGGGCACGATTTAATCCGCCTCTGAGCTGGGAACGTTGGTAGTAACAGAGCCGGAACGATGTCTGTGTGAAAAGCCACAGCCGGTATGCTGGAACAGGTGCGGCGTTTTAACGCTGTTGTGTTACACCTCTCTGTCTTTTTATTTTTTTTTTCACCATCTAACCAGGAAAGCCGGATCGCTATGTGAAAGCACACATGGTTGTGGGATTATGCTGCAAACTTTTGCTCAGTATGAATGAGCAAATGCGGCATATTGGTGTGCATTCTTTCCACATTTATTGCGGGATCTCTGTATAAGAGCGTCAGGAAAGTCACATGTAAATGTGACAATAAATCATTGATTTGATGAAACCTTCATTCCTTGACGCAGGAAGTGTATGAGCGTGTGCAGAGACTTCAGCAGGCCACACCCTGCATTTGGTGGAAGGCCATCAGCTATCACTACGTGAGGAGGACCAGACAGGTGACAAGATACCGCAACGGAGATGCATATACGACCACACAGGTGAGGGATAACTCTTCTTAGCACACATACTAACACTTCACTTCACATTCACTTGTTTCTTTTTATATTGTTAACAGCAACACTTAAACACTTAAGTTGTAATTTTATAAACTTTTAAAATAACTGCTATGCAAATCTTAATTTCTCCTATAGTGAAATATTGCGGGGCTGTGTGCTAACAGCTGTGTGCAGTAAGAAAAATATTCTACTTAGTAACCATGCTTTATTGATGCTGAACACATATATGAAGGTTAAAATGTCTTCCCAATAACTTGATTCTTCCTTTCTCAAACTTTCCTTATGTTCTCCTTCCTCCTCTCCCGTTTCCCTTACATTAAACTCCTCCATCTATGGCCTGGTCCTTCCTTCCTCAGGTCTACCATGAGAGGGTGAACACTCACGCCTCTAGTTCAGAGTTTGACTACGCCCGCTATGGTGTCAAAGACGTATCAAAGGAGCTGCTGGACCTGCAACTGCACCCTGCTGTTCGCCTCCGTTTCACCAAGTGTTTCAGGTCAGACACCCACCACTAACCACAGCTGGTCAAAAGATATGGTGGGGAAGTTATTTTGGGTAGTAAACAAGCTATTAAATATTGTTTTTGCTCTTTAGCTTCTCCAGTGCACGTGCTGAAGCTGCCTACCTCACCCAGGTAAGTGGTAAAAAACAACATATTTAATATTATAGTTAATTCAGTGCTATTATTACAGGGACTACAACAAATTATGACAATGATAATGATGGCAGATTTACCACTCAAATTTATAAGTAATTAGTATATTAACAATCGGCCCTTCAATTTCAGACAGATCTTATTTCTGGTGATTTTTTTGATCATTGAAAATGGCAGTTGTCACTGGCAGATTGAACTGTAGCTAGCTAATTCAATTTACTTTAGCTCCATGGGTTTGTCCCAGCCAGCTAGTTTTATGTATGTTTTATGTTTATATACTTTAAAAGTGATTGCAGGCAAATAGTTCGCCTCCGAAGCAGAGATATGCTTCTTGGCCTTTGAAGTAACACTGTCTTACATAACTAATGCATTCTATTCTCTTTCTGTCATGCCAAGCGAGCACGCTTCTTCGGGGAGAACGAGGGGCTTGACGACTACATGGAGGCCAGGGAGGGAATGCACCTAAAGAACGTGGATTTCCGCGAACACATCTTGGCATTCCCAGATCCTGCTCACCAGCCATGGTTTTCCAGGCATAGGGTTTTCTGGCTGGCTTCTGCTTTCCTCCTGTCATGGCCGCTGCGGGTTGTGTCAGAATATCGCACAGCATATGTCCACTACCATGTGGAGAAGCTGTTCGGGGAGGAAGAGGATAGTGGCGGAGGAGGTGGTGGAGGGGGAAGAGGGGATGGGGTTGAAGGAGGGACTGAGAATGGAATCCACCCAGGAGGGATCGGGATTGGAATTGGGCTGAATGGGACTAGTTACAGAGCCATCTCTCGAGTCAATACGGTGGACATGACAGAACTGGAGTGGCACATCCGCTGTAACCAACAGATGGTCCCGAGCTACTCTGAAGCTCTCCTTATGGACATGGACTCAAATGGGGGGACAAATCCTACCGCCTCTACACCCATCTCTGGGCCTCCATCCACCACCCCCAGCCAGGGGACCAACCCACTTCCTCTAGCTCTGCCGGTGGTGTTCAACTCGGCTTACCTCCTCCAGAGCTGCCCCCGGTGCCGGAGGACCACGTCGAGTTCCAGTCTTCCCTCCAGGTTAAGGGCCCCGATGGGAACCACAGCCCTCCTGAACGCTACCGTGGCAGGAATCAGAGCAGCAGGGCAGGGTGGTGGGGGTATAGGAGGAAGGTTGGTGCTCAGTCGGAGCGGATTCTCTCTTGGGAGACTTGGAGGAGGGCGCCAGAACAGTCTGTTTCATTCAAGAAGTATGGGAGGAGGGCTTGGAGGAAGTAGGGAAGATGGAGGAGGAGCTGGGGGAGGGGGGGGGAGCGGTGGTAGTGGAGGAGGAGGCGGAGGATTCCTTGGCTTGGGTTCAAGACAGGACAACGAGGAGACCAGAGGAGTGCTAGAAGGAGAAGGGGATGATGACGAGGAAGAGGATCAGCTGCAGGAGGAGGAGGTCAGGAGAAGGGAAGACAGGGGACACGGAGGCAGAGAGAGGGATGAAGAAGCAGAGCAAGACAGCGGAGGGGGAGGCGAGGGCAGGGAGGCTGATGGGGGAGGGAGGGAACGTCCTCCATCGTACCAGGATGCATTCTTCTTTCCTGTCCTCATTATACACGGAGAGGAAAGCTGCCATGCCGGAGACGACATGTGACGATAAAAAAAAATAAACACATGAAAAGCAAGACAGTATGGGCAGAGGCCGAGGGAGATGAAAGAACACACCGAACAGAAAGAAAAGAGTGGATCAGAGAAGAACTGGATGAGGACATGCTAGACCTGAAGAATGAATGAAATGAGAACAGAATGAGGTTGAAGTTGGTTGATGGCATCACCAACTGCAGAGAAAGAGACGAAAGGATTCAGTCAGAACAAAGTGTGAGAGGTAAGAGCAGCTGTGTGAGAGACAGAATTACCAAGGAAATGGGGAGAGGGGGCGGACAGATGGAGTGCATACTGTAAAAAGGCCGGCTGGTTCAGAAAGAGATGAGAGCTGATAGGGAGTGCTTCAGCAAGATAACATGGAGTCTGAGAATATGAGTGGAGGCAAGAAAATCCTTGCAATCGTAGACTTTGCTACACAAAGATTGTGAGATACTTGGGAAGAATGGAAAGACTGAAAACCTAGGAATGTCTATTTCCAGATATATCTATGCAAGAACAGAAGTGGGAGGACTAACACGTCTAAAGTAAGAGCAGTGGAGAGACTCCAAACAAGCTGAGTGGTGGTGGAGTTTTTTTCTCCCCAAAAGAAACAGAAGTGGAGGAATTGCAAAAGGGTATTTTGAAGGCTTGAAGCTTTGGTTTTGAAAAAATCAAATCATAGAGGTGGACTAAATGTAGGACTCATTTAAAGAATGAAATGCAGAAAGGGGAAAGAATCCCTAAATATTTCATTTGAGAGAGGAAACGGATGAGAACACAAAGGATTACAAAATACAGAGTAGAGAAGCAGAGAGAAAGAAACAATGACATGCAAAAAACATGCAAGACAGAAGAAGAGAAAATACAGTTGAGTATTGGTATTGGAACAACAGACAAAGAGAAGAAGCTGAAAATAAAATGGACACAGTACTGACAGAGAATTCATGCAGATTCTTTAAAGACAAAACCCAATCATAAAAAAGATCAACTCAAGAGGAGGAGAAAAAAAGACCGGACAAAACACCCTCTGAGCAGCAATCCTGACCTTGAGTCTAGTCAGGAAATCAAAATAACATTCAAGTAGTTCCCCAAGGAAGAAGCAGGTCCCCATGACAAATGAGGTCTTCCTCAGGTCTTTACTATAGAATGTTACACAGCATGTGGCTAGCAACCAAAACACTTCAATAATAATAAAAAATAAAAGAGGAGAACCAGTGATTTTCTCGCTCTCTCGTCATGCCATCTTACTCCTCACTTCACCATTAGCTTCCCCCACCACTCTGCAGCCATTACTGATATGGAGCTGATAGAAAAAAACACCATAAAACGAGGGAGTGATTGCTTCCTCTACTCAGCTCTACCCCGCTCCTCTTTTGTCATGCTCCTATCTGCTCTCCTCCCTCCCTTTTGTCACCTCTTCCGTACTCCTCCATCCTTCCTCACCCCTCTTTGCAGCGCAGAGGTGTAATTCTGAGCAACACATTATTGTTTTTTATAAACATGACCAGTTATGTTGCAATGTCTTTTTTTTTTTTTTTTTTTTTTTTTAATGCAATTAGCACATTTCATTCTAAGTGAAGTGAGTTGTACCAAAATAGATTCACTGCATCCATCATTAACTTCCCCTCCTCTTTTCCTCTGCCATTCTCTCACTTCCGCTCCTCCCTTTCGTCTTTTTAAAGTGCTGGTTATGTGATACATCCCTCTCTGCTCCTGGAAATGCTGAGATCAGATTTCATCTCAGCTCACTCCACATATCTCCTCTAGGCAGAGGATTTCACCTCTAGGATCTGATTTTAATAACCAGATATTTCCCACTTATTTGACATTTTTTATTACCTTTCACTATTTTGTGTCTGTTTTCAAAGAAACAGAAAGAGATTTGAACAAATTGAATTTATCCAATGTGAGGAGAAAAAGATATAGCCAAATTGGCCTTGATATACGCAAGTAAAATGGCTAATGTCCACCAGTTATGCCTGTGTAGATGTGCTCTAGTGTTAAACATTTGTACCCAAAGATAGGCTTGTGCAATATGAAGAAAAAATACAATAACCAGAGAACCTTTCTCCAATATCAATATCCTATATATCACAATACTATATGTGTTAAAGCATGGAAAATCACCTCTTTATCTCATTTATGTCCATAATATTGGACTGCATGGGAAGTAAAACTTGAGCTATCAAGCTCAGCTGGCGTTCTCATAACCAAACAATTGCTGATGAGAATTTGCACTATTTAAAATAAAACCAACAATATGATCACAATGATCAATAATGCCCAGCCCTATGGTAGAATAAGTGGCCAGATTGTGCCATGCTGCTACCTCCTCCTCTTGAATCCCCCTGCAAATAAGTAACAAAGCTCCCTGAAACATCGCCTCACTAAAAAAATGTGTAAAAGATAGCTGGCATAGAGATGCATGTAACCTAATAACAGCTAGGGTGCAAGAGCTACTAATAACTATGTAGCAAATATGTCTGCCATTGCCAAAAAGCAGAGATCCATGATCAATCAACACAAATTTAGATATTTTAGAAACATGTAGACAAGAGCACGGACAAGAATCCACAGGGGTGAAACTCTGTGACTCTGTGTCCTACTTCCTGAGTTAGTATGGTTTCATGGAAAATCAGTCCAGGGAGAGGCAATGGGCACAGACAACACGACCATCAGTGCTTTGATGCATTATATTTTTTACAAAGCACACTAAACCTGCTACAGTAGCAAGAAGCAGTTAGAGTAGTTAGATGAATATGTCTTAACCTTCCCTGCATAGCGCCCTTCAAAGGTCACTTCAGCCACTTTGTGATGTTGGAAGGGTCTCCCTCGTTCTCGATCTGCTTACTTAGGACATGATACTGCAAAGCACACTGTAAGAGTGAGGGAAATGTCTTACATGAGGAGTTTCCTGAAAATGGAGCAAAACACGATGCTTGACGCAATCTCGATAGAACTGATGGACATGTTAATGAACATACGCAAAGGCACACAAATATGGATATGGTGACAACAACCAGCCAACCTGGACTCAGCAGAGACAGCAGGGAATGTTATTTCAATGAAACTTTCCGGAAGGATAAAGTAGAGCATGAGTGCTGACCTGGTTTGGTGTACGGGACACACACACACACACACACTTGCTCTGACACACATTCACACACTGATTCTGGCTCACGGATCTTCTGTTGCTCTGGGGGACATCAAGCTGAACTGGGCACAAGGAAACTAATGCACAAAGTAATTAATGGAAGAAAGCTGACAGGGAAAGTAAACAGCAACAGGGACATACGTATGTCTCTGTATGAGTGGAGAACTGGAAAATGAAAAAGACTTGCCTAAACAGCCGCTGGAAGAAAGAAGAGATTAAAAGACAATTATTTTTACAGCTATTTATCATTATCTGAGTCACTTGACTTGTGGATCAAATTGTCTCCATTAATGTCCATCAACAAAAAGAAGTACTATAAAGCACTGACTCCACCACCTGTGTTCATTTTATTTAATTGCAAGATGTTGCGTTCACTAATTTCCCAATCACTCAATTTTTGTTTAGTTGTAATAACAAGGCTTGGACGGTTCTGTCCAGTATGAGGTTTTGATCATATAGCCTGTTAGCCACTTCAATTTGAAATCACAAGAGGTGAGCTTCAATTTACAATCTGATTACTTTTACCTTGCTATCTCTAAGACTTTGCCCCCAAATGTGACAAAACAAGTAAACACAATTCAGTCTGTAATTTGCTACTTTTATATCATCTGCATACTTGAGTAGACATTATTTCAGGTTGTTTAAGTGATGTCTAAAATTCAAATGCCTTTGTAAGCTATAGAAATGTCTCATGTCTTAACTGAATTATTTGTTTTATTTTTTATTTTTGTAAAACAGGCAGTGGTCTTGGCTTCTCAATGAACTTTGGTCGGTGAGCCTCTAGTTCAAGTCTAACTTTGTTTATTTATTGTTTTTAAACAGGTGTTTTTCACTCATGTGTTGTGACTGGATATTTATATGGTGTTTTATTATCTCAAGAGTGTGTCAACCATGTGTCCTCAGCCGCTTCAGGTGTGCCAAGAGAACTTTGTGCCCATGATGTCTTACACAAACACACACACACTCATGTGCGCTTGCATGTTTAGTCACAGCAGTAAAGCAGCCATTATAACAGCTTATTTTAGACTAAAGTGACATTAATCCAGTACCTGTAATAGCCCCACACATGCAGAGTCTTAACAGAAACATGCACACACTGAAAGCATGAAACTGTCCTGCTATGTTGCCTTTTGTGCCCGACGTTGCCAACTTTTTTTGCTCAGGATTTCAGTTAATGCTGCACATGCACATAGACGTTAGTAGCTGGTACAGGCGGCTGCACCAAGTCCACGCAATGTGCAATCTGTGCTGGTGGACTGTGCTATACCACCAAACAATTACATGAGGTGACAAAAGGGTGGATTTACTCAGGAGCAAAAATAAAAGATACCCATCAAGTGATCTTTATCTGCAATTTTAGTTTGTTGTTGATGTTTTTGTTATTTATTTTGTACATTGAGTGAATGGCTGAGGTGCAGCTCATGTGTAAATCCACCCAGAATGTGGCTAATATGTTGCAGTATGTTTGGTTTAACCTGGCAAGCTGGGTTGTGGTCCACTAGGTGGCAGCAAAGCCTTACATATTGTGACAACACAGCGCTGTGTGGTACCACATTTAGAGGATGAACCAACAGTGAGTCAAGACAGGGTAGAAAACAGCTGCTGTCCTGCTCTCTGTTGGTTGATACTTAAACATGTTGCACATCTGCACACACCCCGGGCAGTGATGTCAAACCAGCTGATAAAAAGCACCTGCTATGACATTGCTGGTAGAGGCCTGGGCAGAGGTGCAACAAACCTGAAAGCTTAAAACTGCAGAGGGCAGTGCTGGCCTATGTGATTGTGCATTTATCTTCTAAGGGTCCGCTGATTTTGTTATTTTCCTTCAACTGTGAAAGTGTTGCGAAGAAATGTTGCCCATATCCCTGCTTTGTGGCTGGACTTACATGTGTTGCTAAGCAGCTTTCTGAACTTATAACCACAAGCAATGGGTGCTTCAGTCCTTAAAATGACGGCACTGTTAGATAAAGGCAATTAGCAATTTGTGACTGAGCCTCCATTTCCACTGCGTAACTCATTGTCTGGCTGTGTTGCTCTATATGACACAAAGATACAAATAAAATGAGAAGTCAGGGGGTTTGCTTTGTGATCAACATTTTGAAAAGACCATTCTAAAATACACTTTCTTATGCTCAAAGTTAACGTGAGCACAAACTTCTGCTCTTTTCCACCTTTTTAGCATCATCATCACTGTCTTATAAACTGCTCTAGCAATTATGACCAATGTATTGGTGTCAATACTGTTACTGTTTCTCTTGTGGTCATGGGACGGGAGAGTCATACCAAGTTTGTCAAACTGTAAAAAAAAAAAAAAAAAAAAAAAAAAAAGGTTTTAGAGTTGGTTTGACCTGACATCACATGAATTCCAGCTGCATTTTCAGTTTTAGTTTTCAGAAACACTTGGTTAGACTAATGTGGATGCTACAAACTATCAGGTAACAAATATAAATCTGTGATCATTGACTGTTATTGTACCATTATTAACATTAGACTATCCAAATGAAGTCAAATTGCTATTTCCATAGGCCATCTTAATTAAGTAAAAACTGACCGATAAACAGAAACCATGGTATTCTTTTGACCTCTGACCTCAGACACTTTAGCGTGACTCTACATGCATTTTAAAGACTAAACTAACAGCAGCTTGGATTACTGTCTGTTATTATCCAAAGGCACTTTTTTGCTGCACTTTTAAAAATGAATAATTGCAGTTTTCCATTGTGCAAAAACTATTTTGTACCTGTACTGAGCCTTGTATATGCGTGATACAGTGTCACCACCCTTTTTGTTTTTGCACTGGAATAATGAGCAGCTGCGTGTTGTCGCATATCCTCGATGCAATAACACGTCACCACCTTTAGGCGGTGGTCTCTTGTCCTGAATTGGACACACAAAAAACAAAAAAACAATAGCATTTTCTGATCAGGGTCAGATTATAGTTGGGGTCAATTTTAAGAAATGTGGTCATGATCAGGTTTAGAGATGCAGTAGCTGATCAAGTAGCACCTTGCTTAAATATGTTCAGTGTCACCTGATTGTTTGTTGAGTATCATCATTGGACTGTAATGCTATAAAAAGCTGTATACATGTAAACCTGTGACTTAGCTGGTCAATGCAGTGAGAGCCCCTGCACTCTTGGCTCCAGCCTCAGACGATGATGATGATCACGTCACATGGCATTTCAGGATACTCGTGTCTTGCAAAATATTTAATGCGCTGGATTACCTGTGAGCTGTCGAACAAATGAATTGTTAACCACAATGTAGTTGTTATGTACATGCAGCCTCTATGGAGTTTAAACAATAATGTCACATACGACGCATTATTGTCTTACACCGTGATTTGTAAAGCCAGGAATGGGCTTTCTGTTCAAGCACCGTCGAGCAAAATGTCCTCAGTATTTAAGCTAATTAATATGTAACTGATAATGAGATTGCCAATATCACACCAGATTATATAGCTGTTGTCACTGGCCTGTTTAAGATAATGTAATTATTTCATTTGAGTGGAGGTAATGGAGCTGGTGGCAATAACACTGTTAAGTGATGCGGTCCTGGCGATGATGATGACAATTAATTATGGAAGATACAAATAAAGTCAATCTGCTTGGTATACCAGGGTTTGGTCTTATGGGATTTTTAACTCAATGATATCTTTACAATTTAAAAGATTATTATGAATATATTATAGAATTTTTACAATAAATGTTCTCTTTTTGTTTATTTGACCCCTCCAGCTCTTAATCTTTTGTTAACTGTTTCATTTGTGACATATTTGTTACTTGCTGAAGCACAACTCCTTTAGTGAGCTTTTTCTCTGGATTAAAATAATGCAAGCATACAGTTAGAAACATTGCAGATTTAAAGATTATTGACTATATTTGGTGTATTTGCCGTATCGGGGAATGATTTTACACATCAGATCATTTACTTGTCAAGCAGAGCAATACTTGGTTATAGAATGTCTTTTTTGGCTCTGGAGGGATCGCTCCAAAGATTGAAAAAATTACCCCTGGGATGTTTCCCCAGCATTTACTAGGCAGGCTTATTTAACAATTTCATTTTTGTGTGCATGCAAAATAAAGTGAAATTGGTATGTGATTATACCTAAATTACATTAGATTTATTTAGATGAAGCATTTATCTAAAGCAGCTCTCAATAAGTGCATTATGTGGATACAATACAAAAAGTTGCAAGAATCATTTTAAGAACATTAACTTCATTAAATATGCTGAGCTGCTTCAAGTGCTACATTTAGATACACTAAGAGATAGAGAAGGTTTTTTTTATGGGCAGAGGTGCAGTCTGAACAGAGTTTCTGCTGTCCTCGATGTAAGGTTGACATTTTTTTGGCGGGGTGGGAAACGGTATCAGCAAGCACTAGTTCACTCAGAATCATTTTGATCCTGTATAATATTGCTATCATATCCATGTGGGGACTAAGAACATATCTGGTAGAGTTCAGTAACTTACAGCGAGCGTGACTTTAAAACAGTGATTTATATTTCTCTGTTGAATTCACAACTTGTGATTTAGCCAACATTAACGTCTTTGTTAACGATACTAGTGTAGTATCTGTATCTGAACTATCTGGTGCATTGATGTTGACCATTGTTAAAATCTCTCTCACAAGTCCCACAACTTACAATACTAAAACACAAAGAACGATACTAAATCACTGGGGTACCCCTTTAAGAAAAACAATTTTCTGTTGTTAAGTTTTATTAGGCAGCACAAAATAAGGTGAGGGTAACAACGTCTCCAGCAGTGTGCCCTTGTGTTGTTAATTTTCTGTATCTCATATATTGTCATGCATCAATCTTAGATTGGCCTACTGCACATACAATATTCATAAAGGTTATTACTATTTCTGTGCCCACACTGAGTATGACAGGTTTCAATATACATAATATACAATCTTCATGTTTATGCAATGGCATATCTGTAGTAATGTTTCTCTCTTGATGGGGTTTTTCCTGAATATGTAGGGGAGCAATTCCATCATGTTAAACTGATTTGACGTGGAGTGTGTCTTCCCACACAAGCGCCTCACTATTTGGTTGTGTTTCCTTTATTGTCTCCATAGAATTGCTCACACTACTGAGAACAGTAACTCAGGAGGGGGAGGACTTCAAAGCACCATTCTGCTGCATTTAAAGTGTCTGTTTATCTGTACATCCAAGCTCAGGTGCTGACAACGAAGCACTTCCAACAAAGGCTTATGTCAACTGGAGTTATGTAGGGTGTCAGGAGGAACATTTCACTAGATTTGCTCATCCCGCGGGACTGTCTAAAAGCTACACTTCACAGTGTTCATCTATTTTTTCATAGAAATAATAACAATAAATACACTATGTCACATCTTTATTGAAGTCAGGAGTTGAGCCCAGGATCAGTACACGAGACACGATATCTTTCGGACTTTGCGTCCTCTGTGAGCCAAAAAATCAGATTGCCTGCTGCTGTAAAGGACTGTAGTTGTGTCTGATCTCACAGTGCAGGCTGATACTGTAGGTTAGACCCTAGAGGACAGCATCATAATACTGCCTGTTTCTTGGATGTTCAGCCTATGAGGTGAATTTAAAGCCACCTTTCATTCAAAAATCCCGTTTTGCTTTTTGTTTGTACTTTACTTAAGTTAAGTGAGCTCCACCTCAACCAACCACAACAGTAAAATCCCGCTTTACAAGAAGACACGAGTAATAATAATCTCATGATATAAAATATTAGTATAACAGTCACAGGGGATATTTCCGTTTAACACATTTTCCTGACTATACTTTTACTCAAGTAATATTTTCCATGCTGAATACTTCCTCCACCGCTGCACAAATGTGATGTGGGAATTTGAGACACTGATATTGGACTTTTCACTTCAGTAGGAAACATCTTGCATTTAGTGTTTAAACTTTGAAATGAGACACATTTGCATTTTCAGAGAGAGGCTGGATTTTTCAAAGAGGAAGATGTGCTTTTGATCATTTGTAAGTAGTTTATTGAATTCTTTTTTTGCTGTGGATCAGTCAAATATCAGGCAAATTAGGATTCAAAGCAGAGTCATTTTATATGTCTTTAAATATGCATGGAGGGAACTTTAAGTAGTTTTATATTCTAAAGCCTTTAGCTATGTTCTGATAGTGAGTGAGATATGTGTTTTATGAGTTTTCCTGCTGCAGATATACTGGATTAGCGTGATGTGTTTTCAGGTCTCAGCTGGACCAAAAGCCTAAATGGGTCTGCTCATACAATGTCTACTCAGTAAGTAGCTCCGTTATATGTGTGCCCTCTGGTTGCTGTTGGTACTGGTACTAGAGTCAACTGTTAAATAATTATGAAGTAATTTATCTGATCAGATTACCACCACAGCAGGCTTCCTGATTGGTTAGTGCTGACAGTCTTCCTGGTGCACATTGTTCCTCCACAGATCTGACTTTGTTGTCTCTGTCTCGCTGCAGCACCAGCGGCTGTTTGCCCAGCAATCTTCTTCTGGACTGAGAGGAACCTATTTACTGTTAGAAACAGGTGGAGGTACAGGCTTCTGGAGGGGATTGGATGTGTTTTAACACAAAATACTAGTGAAGAAAGGCACCATTTTCAGACTGTCTGCTCGAGTAAAATGCCAGTACACAGAGTAGCTATGGACACACATTTACGTTGTCATTTAGTATTTATCTAGAAGTAAGTGACTGAGCTGGACTCTTTGCATGATGGTCTTTTGTATTTTTTACCAGCTTGGACTCCTCTGACCACTTGGTGGCACAGTAGTTCCACAGCTTTAAACGACATGCCCCTTGTACTCTGTTTAAATCACATCTGAGGCTTTTCTCAGAAATACCCAAAAGACAAAACAGATTAGCAGACATTTGGAAAAAGTTTATTTGAATAAAGCTCACTTATAATTGGTCAAATTAAGTGTGTGTGAATATATGTGTCAAACGATACTATATCCTCATGTGAATAATGTCATTTATAGAATTTAGCAGGAGGGATCAGGACATATGTCCTATATGATTTATAGCATAGAGCCTGAGAGGGTAAATGGCTTTAATCAAAATAGGAAATAACTGCATGAAATCTCTAAGTGGTGAATGTAAAGTAGAGAGAATTCGGAGTTTGGGGACTGTTCTTCAGTTTTCAAAGTGGAGAGGCTTTTAGCTGTGGTGAGAAAAATAATTGCCGCGAATGGGTCCTGTAATTTAATGACATGTTGAAAATATAGTCAAACTGATTTTTAGACACATTCAGCGCCGTTGTAGGGATACATTTTTTGCTATTAACTTTTCCCACATCTTCCTCAGAAAATGCTTTCAAAGCCCTCTCACAAGGTAGCAGCAAAATTAGTCCGGAGTCACAGAGCAGCAGAGGAAAGGAGAGAGGCGAAGAGGAGGCAATGGAGAGGGAAAAAGGGGGTTTGATGGAGAATGGCATGTTTAGTTTCACCCACACACACACACAGACTGGTGGCAGCAGCAGCCTGCCGTGGAGTCTCTTGCTGAGTCGGGCTGAAGCCAGTGGACCGATGGATGAGGTGGAAAGTAAGGAGGGAAGGACTGAGGAGTGAGGAAGTGAAAAAGTGAGGAATATGTAACAAATCTGAAGTGACACAACTAGACATGCTTCGGCTCGCCCCAAAATAACACACAGACAGACCCGTCTGTCGTTTTGCTCCTCTGATTTACTTACAAGACATACTTTTTTCTTGAACCCCCCACCATCTCATCCCTCTTGCTTTCCTCACAGCCATCCCTGTCTTCCTCCAAAAGTTTCATTACCTCTTTCTTTTCTCTTTTTCGATCCTCTCCTCTCCCTTGGTGGTGGTGGCACCTCCCCTGTAATTTTCTCCTCCCCCTGTCCCTCCTCCCCTCTCCATTCCTTCTGCAGCCCCCCCCCCCCCCCCCCCACTCCACACACACTCACACACACACACACACACACACCTCTCCTCTCTGTCTAACAATAGCCATAATGTGTTATGATGCAGTCTGCCTCGCTCGCAGCAGCTCTGCTCTCCCCTCTCTGTGGCTGCCTCCTTCTCTCTCTCTCTTCCCAATTTTCACTCCTGCAGCGGGTATGCTGTCTTTCTCGCCTCCCTTACAATCTCCCACTTCCCTTTTCTCACATTTCTCCTTCCTTTATCTTTCCTTATGATCTTCGTCTTCGCTGTTGGTGTTATCACACAACCCCCTTTCCCTTCATTTCCTCTCCTTCCCTTCGCCTCCCCTTCCTCTCATTTTCCGTATGCAGCATGCGCATGGTGTGAACATGTGGTCTTCTCCCTCACCCCTCCTACTCTTTGGCATCGTTTGCCCCTCTCACTCTTTCATCCCAATTCCTCTTCTCTTCTCTGTTTGCGCTCCTGCTTGCGTAGGCTGGCTCTTGTAGCTGTGCAAGCATGTGGTCCTCAACTCCCCACCGCACCTCCATCACTTTTTTCCCTCTCTTCTTTTCTCTGTCTGTTGTCTGGACTCCATCACACACACCTCCCCTCTGTGTGCATCGCTCCCCACTCCCTTTCTTTTGTGCTTTCCTGCAGGAGTGTGTACTATGCAGGCTGTCTGCCTTCTCCCCTTATTTTCCACCCTCATTCTTGCCGTCTCTCCTTCTCTCTCTCA